CGCTGTAATATATTACACATTTTTATTTTTGAGTTTTTATGCTTTAACTGCTTTGTTGCCATTTATCTTAATAGCATCACATTGATTTCAATATGCTGAAGATAAGGTGACTGCCAACAAGTAGTTAAATCACTCAGATGCAAAATTATTAGATCACTTTTTAGCCTGTTTATGCCTCTAAACGCACTTCTTTTTTAACCATTGTGGGCATGCAAATTGTGGTATTTAGAACCTTTTTTTATAGCCGTGTTCAGGGAAATTAGAATAGAATGCCACAAACCTGCATTCAGAGAGGCGCTTACTGGTATAATTTATGTGCGTATATGCATGTAAATTTATTCTGGTGGCTAGAATAAGTGAATATTCTAGCCAATAGAATGTGTCTGTGAATATGCCAAAATTACACATCACAACGCACATTTTTATGCTGGATTTTTCTGCTAGCTTCCAACAGATTTATCCAGCGTAGATGGGAGTCTTTTAATACGCCCATGTGTATAACTCCTTACAGATTCCTGAGAGGAATTGATGCATCAAGGTATTTTCCCACCCAAAAAAGGTATGCATTATATTTATAACAAAGGCAAACCTGTGACCTTTAATGCAGATATCAGCATTTATTTGGACTACAAGGTCTACAAGTAGAGGGAGGAAAAATTAATTTCAAATACAAACACATAGAAGCCGAGCATAGCAGAGTTCTAAAAGCCCATTATAAGGAATGAAACCTAGCTGGAAACTCCCAAAAATGACCCAACATGGCTATTTCATGTACAACCCAGAGACAAAATACCAAGAGCAAGCCAAGCACTTATTACCTTCAACATCTCATTACCAGAACAAATCTCCCATAATGATGCCATAACATGTATAAGAAACAAAATCCAGAAAGCGGACAATTATTCTACCAACAAAACACACAGGTATTTCTACAAAGCTTGTTTTATTTCTATGCACAACTGTCATCCATAACAAAACAGTACAAAGAGTTTGAGAAAGAAATGTTACGGACATTCCAACAATACGCACTAGAAAATATCAACAAATCATGACGGAATAAAAATAAAATACGATTACTGACACAAAACATTTTCAAGTGTGCAGAACTTGTGCTATTCAGTCATATACAATAACAGAATTCCGTCCTCTCCATTTCTAGAACACGGAGTAAATCAGGTGTACATACTGAAGCTGTAAGGGGGCAATTCTTCACTCACCACCAATATAAGGGGGGCAATTCTTCACTGACCACAAATGTAAGGAGGCATTTCTTCACTGACCAACAATATAAGGGGTGGCATTTCTTCACTGACAACCAATGCAAGGGGGGGGCATTTCTTCACCGACTACCAATGTAAGGGGGGCATTTCTTTACTGACCACCAATATGGAGGAAGATTACAAATTTCACTAAATATTTTTTCTGGCCAATATAATATAATTACTGAAAATCATTTTACTGTACAGAGCAGCCCTAGGTGTCAAATTCCTTATTTTTAAAATTATTTTTCTTATTTCTTAACTTAATGATCAAGCTAACGTACCGTTAGAAGCTAATTATAATCCAATTATTAGCAGGGGTTCACTACTGAGACCTGAAAGTAAATTTAAGGGTTCCAATGATTTTAAAAAAGCTATATGTATGTAGATATATCTATATATAAATATATATAGATATATCTACATATATATAGATATATACACACACACACACACACACAGTATATTAATTACTATAACACAGAACAATTCTAACTGGAAACACAATACTGAAATCCATTCAATGAGAGGGATCACAGCACCAGAATAATTCCCATCAGTAGCAGCTCCTGTTCATATTACAGCACGCAGCAGTAAATGGACCGGCGATGCCCAGTGCTGGTCCTGTTTACATTACAGCATGCAGCAGTAAGTGGACCAGCGATGTTCACTGCTGGTCCTGTTCATATTACAGCACTAAGCAGTAAGTGGACGGCGATGCTCAGTGCTAGTCCTGTTCATATTACAGCACTAAGCAGTAAGTGGACCGGTAATGCCCACTGCTGGTCCTGTTCATATTACAGAATGCAGCAGTAAGTGGACCGGCGATGCTCAGTGCTGGTCCTGTTCATATTACAGCACTAAGCTGTAAGTGGACCGGTAATGCCCAGTGCTGTTCCTGTTCATATTACAGCATGCAGCAGTAAGTGGACCGGCAATGCTCAGTGCTGGTCCTGTTCATATAACAGAATGCAGCAGTAAGAACTGGTAATGCTCAGTGCTGGTCCTGTGCTCACAGTGCTCTGCAGTCTGCACACAGATCAGTGCTGTGGGGAGCACACTCTGGTAGCCTGGTATTGAATAAAGCACAGCGCACACTAAGCTGCTGGCGAGCACTGACCTGTACACAAGGTGGGTTGCGCCGCACACTCTGTCTGCCGCCTCCGGGTCTCCCTTGAACTGAGTAGCCTGAAGTCAGCGAGCCGTGCTACCAGCCCGGTCGTTCCCATAGTAACGACGTGCCCGCCTCTGACTCTCTCGGCCAATCAGCGTTTGCAGACTGCGGCTGGGCAGACGTTCCAGGTAGGTTGCTCCTAAGGATAGGACAGGCAGGGCTCTGCTGTGCTGTGTTTACAAAGTCACTGCCAGTCATTGCACGGTATGTGTGTCTGGAAGGACATAGAAATCTTTGTGGTGTGGGAAGCAGCAGACCTGACTATGGTTCTGTCCTGCATCTGACAGAATTCCAAGTGTTAGGACCAAACCAGGAAAATGATCATTTATAAGAGTCTCTTTAGCAAAATCATTTCATTTTAGTTGTGCATGGAGTGGGAGCAGTGGTGTCACAAGGGGGGTGCCACCCGCACCCGGGTGCCACTATTGGAGGGGGTGACACCAAAATGACTGACTTGCCACCACAACATAAGGTTAGGGGAAATCCAAAGGGGACACCTGTAACATGTACAGGCCCGGCGCTACCGCAAGGCAAGTCAGGTGGCCGCCTGAGGGCGCTGCAGGGTGAGGGCGGAAAAAACAGGGCATTTTGACAAGTACTTGTACTTGTCTACAGGGGGTCGGGGGGGAGGGGGTTGGTTGCGGGGGGGGGGGGCGCAAAAATTCAACTTTGCCTGTGTTGGCAAAAATCCTAGCACCGGCCCTGAACATGTACAACAACAAGGTGTATAGATGAGGCAGCATGAACATACAGCATGGCATATAGAATGAGGCGGCGTGGAATAGGGAACGTACAGCATGGCATATAGAGTGAGGTGGTGTGGAATAGGGAACGTACAGCATGGCATATAGAATGAGTAGATAAGGAATAGGGAACGTCAGTACGAGATAACAAGGGACCGATCAGTCTGCAGCAGCCGTCCATCTACTAGCTTGGAGGAGGAAGAGGGATAAGAGAGGAGGGAAGTGGCTTGCTTGCTGTGCTCCCTTGCAAGGGTGGCTCCACAGGACTCTGCAAGGGCAAGGAGTCACCCTAGATCAGGATATCAGGGCCAGTGCTCAGGGGACCAGCTGATTTTTCAGGAAACTAAAACTTTTAAACATCAAGGAGCAGCGTCCATTGGAAGTGATTTCATCGGCATCTGAAATGGCTTAACAAAACGTTTAAATGTAATATCAGTTTAACTAAAGGGGCAAACACCGACCCTTCCCCCGAGTGGTGTAGTGCCCTCCTCATGTGGTGCCCATGGCACATGCCCTGCCTGCCTTACCCTAGATACTCCATTGGCTGTAGGTAACATGGCCTCATGTTCTCTGTAGTACCACCGTGTTTATGTAGCAGAGCCGGCTGGTTACTTATTGAAGCAATAACACGAAATCTTGCGCACTTGGAGATTAATGTCTAACCAGCTATAAACATTTCATGTATACAGAACTCACCTCTACGCACCTTGCATGGAGTCACCTTGGCAGTGCTGGCAGGAATTACAGCTTGTCCTTCGCTTGCACACACCGGGGGCACGTGGTCATGTGACAAGAAGGAAGCTTATGAGTTAACTGAGAACAAGTGCCATCTCTGGAGTACAAAGATCGTTGGCGTCGTACAGCAGAACACATGCTTGGGGAGAACTTCCCTTTGCAGCTGAGTGCCTCTTCCTGTAGTGCTGGCTCAGGTTACAAACCTACACACAGACACCATGTATCAATTCCTGAGACAAGGCAGTCTGCTGCAAAACAGAAGTTCTCCCCAAGCATGAGAAGACATGAGGATTTAAAAGGAAGAGCAGCAAAGAGAAGGGAAACAACCATGGATTACAGTAAGGCGCACATTACAGTATTGGTTTATGTTAAAAAATCTGAGGGGTTAATGTCACTTTAAATTGTAAAGCGCTGCACAAACTGTTGGCGCTATAAAAATCCTGTATAATAATAATATAAATGATAATAATAATATTCCTATATTAAATTTCTATAAGTTCCTTGCCACTCCTAATAACCAGATCCTCCTAGAAGTTTGTAAACTTACTTATTGAAGGTGCCCATAGGATGGACTTCCCCAATGCACTGACACCATTTCACTCAGCCCTGTGATGTACTTCCTTGTGTTGCCTCTCACAGAGCCTGCCTTCAGAGTTACAACTCAACGTCTGAACAATGTAACATGATCATTGGTTGCTGGAAGCAATGCATGATGGGATATGTAGTCTTGAGAAATGGAGATTGCATCACGTCAAGCAACAGGGAAAGAGACGCAAAGCACACTGGGAATCCAGGAAGTTGTTGGAAGTGATGGGCAGACGGAAGGCAGCGCTCACTACATAAAAGGGATTTGTTCAAGTAAGCTTTCATTGCATTATCAGAAACAACTCCAGTACGTGTTCCTATTCAGAGGCGTCCCGAGGCCGGGTGACACCTCGCCATGTCGTCATCGCACATGCGCGGCCATCTGATTGATGCCTGCCGGCGGCCATCTTGGTGATGGACGCCGGCAGAGAGAGGAGGGGATGTTCACCCGGCCGGATAAGGATCTGCACCTCCTCCCTGCCTAACACTTGCCGCTGCCAAACCCGCCCGCATCCACACTCCACATGCCGCACCTCCTTCCCACCTCATGCTTGCACCTCCTTCCCACCTCATGCTTGCTTGTTTAAGTAGTAACCCGCATCCACACTCCACATGCCGCACCTCCTTCCCACCACATGCCGCACCTCCTTCCCACCTCATGCTTGCTTGTTTAAGTAGTAACCAGCACACGCCGTACGCAGCTTCTAACCGCGTGGGAGACTCATGGGCCTCTGGGTTGTACTTGCCCCCTGGGCTAAAAGTTGCCAGTCAGCCCCTGATTACAAAGCTGATGTTATAACAGGAGAGGATATGCTGGGACTTTACAACGCCTCCCAAACCCATTACCAGAAATACTTTGCTGGGTGGAGCTGGGAACCCTGGCCTGTTTTGGGTAAAACGCGGTACAGAGTGTGGAGTCTAAGCAGAGAGCGTGTTGTGCATCTAGATCAGGGGTGCCCACAATTGTTTGTGTTAAGATCTACTTTTCAATTGACAAGCTACATGAGATCTACCAACAACAAAAACTCTCCTGGCTGTCTCTCTCCTGGCTCACCTTGCTGTATTTTGCAAACAGTGTAGTGCAACAGTCTGTGTAAAGTAATATTCTTTGATGTAATACATAGCACTTCAACCACCAGTATCCAGCAGAAAGGTGTCAGGGAGTTTGGCTCAGCAGACTCAGACTAATAGGTAATCATGTGTGCACAGCTAAATAAATATACCAAAATGGAATAAAGGGGCCGCCATTCACATCCTTTGTGATCTACCAGCATCAGCTTTGAGAGCTACTGGTAGATCACGATCTACCTAATGGGCACCCCTGATCTAGATGAATAAATCTACGTTTGCATTTGGAGTGCATTGTTTTTTTTTGTATGTAATGATGACAACAGTCAGCCATGCCTGACTTTGGAAACAGAGTGTTGTCACCCCATAAGAGGAAGTGCCCGAATGAGGACTTTCATGGCAGGATCACTGGGGATTATTTCAATAAAAATATTAAAAATGACTTTTACATTTACAAAAACATGTTACCGCTCATATGAGATTTTACTGATAGGGTTTACCTCTATGTATATGTACAAGCGGACAGCAGTGTGCGGCTTTAAGTCACTGATCGTCAGTGTTTGTAGCTAGCTCCAGTCCTCTCTGGTCCTGTCCAGATAATGACTAGGAAAATGTGCGATTAATTATGATCTAGTCAGCGCTCCGTGAACATCCTGTTCGGGAAGTGACTCCAATTATCGCCGTCACATGTCACCCGGAGCATCCCTAAACAAGGTACAAATCCCACAATCCAGGAAATGATTAATGAGGTTTGTAAGATTCATATCCCCTGGGTGACTACCAGGCCCCAAACTAGCGAAGTCACATCCTGATGATGGTCATCGCGCTTTCTTTCAGCTCGTCAGGTGCAATACGTGAGGCTGAGGCACCAAATCTGAACAATAGCGTCTAAAGAATATCCAAAGCCAATACGTTTCTGAATTTCTTTTCAGCTTTGGATACAGTAAGAAATGTATAAAACCCCCGCCATTTTTTTCCCCGCTGTCATTGTTCTATTGATATCTAGGGAAGCCTATCCCACCTCTAGCAAACAAACAAAAGTAGAATTGAAGCCAAAACTTTTTTTTTCAAAGTTTTGGATAGTGTAAGGGAGGGTGATAACTAGAGATGCACCCATACCGGGTTTTCGGTATTGAGTATTTTGCTTTCGGTACCCGCCAATACCAATGCTTCCGTTGGCATGGCGTCAGCTTCCCGGGCAATCGCCTCCCGGCTTCCTGATTGGCCGGGAAGCCGGCTACATGTTCCCCTACAGCACAGCCGGTCGGAAGAAATCTTTCTCTGACCGGAAATTCTGGTATTGTGGAAGGTATCGGAGCATTTGGCCGAGTACGATTACTCGCCCCAAATACTCGCTATCAGTATCGGTGCATCTCTAGTTATAACCCGTCAGCTTTTTTTATCATCTGTGTCCCATTAGGGAGATTTCCCTTCACTTCCTGTCTGATAGCTACAATAGGAAGGGAGAAGAAATCCTTTCAAAGAGAGGGAAATGCCTGGGTCAGCAGGGTTACCAGAACTAGTGTCCTTATTGGAAAATTTTCCATCTATTCCTGTTCTGGTGACAACCCAAAATTTGGGATTTTCTTTCACTTTCAGTGATTACGGTCTACAGGACAAATAGAGATGGTGAATCTACCCAACCGGGGCAGAGACTGCAATAAAGGGATCAAGATTTGTAGGCATCTGTGCAGGGGGAGGGTGGGTTATGGAAGGGGACAAAAAGGATAACTGCCCCATAATATAAACTGCATTTATCTTTTTTTTTCCCCCTTTCTGCTAACCTAACCCACGCTCCCCCTCCATAGATGCATACTACACCTGGGCATCCCCATAGACTTCCATAGGGATGTGTGCAGAGGCCGAAGACAATCAGAGATGGTCCCATAGAAGGCTATAGGGCTGCAATGCGAAGGCGCAGACAGGACAGTGACAACGTGCGGCACC